GTGCTTACTGTGATCTGGGGCTTGAGGAGCCCCTGGGCATTCTTCAGAGAGGACAGGAAGTGATAGTTGGTGGGGCTGACGCGTTTACGGTCAGTTGAAAGGTAAAAGGAAACCACACAGTTTTGGCGGGTACAGTTCCCACATGTCTTTAGCAATGTATTCACTGGTTGCTCATAGATGGACACAGCCTTCCCGGCTTTGAGGACAAAAGGTTTAGTCACAGTGAAGTACAAAGGTGTCAGGGAATTCCATGCATGGATTCTCACCTGTGGAGAAATGAAACAATAAAAACATTCTTGGTTTTTATGTTTTTCAAGAATAATCATGGTACTCATAGCTGACAGTCAGAAGAACAGAACTGGTTGAGACACTATGAGACCTGAATGTCAATCGCAGACGCATTAAGTTATGTGACCATGTCACTCAACTTGTCAGCCTCCATTTCTTCATAGATAAAATGGAAATAATAACAGCTCTAATTTCACAGGTTGGTGTGAGAATTTAAAAAATAATCCCTGAAAGGGCACTACTGGCACACTGCAAGGATTCTATGATTATGACCTACTTCCAGTGTCCTCCAAGCTGTAGCCACCAGAGACATGGAGCTTCTACCCCTGTTTTAAAAACAAGGTTGTTGTTGTTGTTGTTTCCCCTACACACTCATTCTGGATAGTTTTACTGATTTCAATTTTTAACATATCATTTTAAACTATTTTTGCAAAATCTGGACTACTTCCTGCTCCTCATAATTATAAATAATCTTACATTTATGTGGCACTTGACACTTATATAACCTGCTTTCATCTATCTCCTTTATTCACCGTTCATGGAAATCCTTAAAAGAGGTAGGCTGGTATCATTTTACAGAGGATTCATCAAGATGTTCAGGGTTTTGCTCAAGGTCATGTAATAAAAATGGCAGGTTTAGCCTGAATAACAGACTATATTTCTGATTCCAAGTGCAACCCATTTTCTGCTACAGGCACTAAAAATATTTTGATACAATTAATTCTCTCTCTTTTTTTTTTTTTGGTCCCAACAGCAATATAACCAAACAACTAAGGAAATAATCATCTGAAAGTCCTCCTTTATCTTAGAGAGAAAAAAAAAAATCCAAGTGACTTACAGTGAGCTGCACTTTAGAGTCTGAGTGAAGGTCCGACACACCATAGACATAAAATATACCTTGATCCTCAAAGCCTATTGGCAACAGTGGAGCAAAGAAATTTCGAGCAAAGTAATGCAGCATTTTCCACTTTCCTCCATACTCTGTAAATAATCAAGAGAGTTAGGGGAAGGCAGGGTCAAGCATTCAACGTCCTTGTGCACATGGTCCTGTTGTGTGTGGCTCATCAGGATTTTCTGGAATGAGCATGTGAGGGAGTTGACAACGGAGGGAACCCCAGTTTGTTAAAGTCTCTAATCAGGCATTTTGGATACCACCCTCACAATATCTGAGTGAGGCAGGCAATAATAACTCACTTTCCGAAGGAGGAAACAGAGGCTCAGGAGTGAACTCAAACATGCTAGAGGTGGTGTTTTGAGCCAGGCCTGGTTCTTAGACAACATGTACAGGTAACTCTGCTTCAGGAGCTCAATTTTCCTTTTTATCACAAACACATAAAGGAGAAGGTTGCCTTGGCAGTGAACACCTGTTGCAAATATTCATTTATAAGAATTACTTAGAACTCAAAGTCTCCTTTTTCCATAGGCACAAAAACCTCTGAGCAAACCAAACTAAGCACTGTGGTGCCAAGGTCAGACTGGATGAAAACATCCAGACCAATGGCAATTAATAGCAGTTCCTCAAATGCAATCAGAAACTGTCAAGAATCTGTAAAATTCTTTGTCTCTTTGGCAGGTCTTGTATATTAAATCCCCAAACCTAAGCTTTTAACATCTTCCTTTCTCAACATTTGACATTTCAGAATGAAGACCCTTCCCCACAAAACATTACATTACCAAATTTCAGAGACAGGGAGAAAAAGAGGAAGAAGAAGGGTGAAGGAGTCTTTCTCAATGATCTAAAAATATAAAACAAATTTAAATTTTGCTAAAAACAGAGAATGAGACTTTCTATAAAAATATTGTCAGTTAGTATGTGTAGGGAGAAAAGAATGGGGAGGTTTTCTAAATCAGCTAGACAGGTACCAAAAATTTTCCAGTTGCACAATTTTTGTAAGAACAAATCCTAATCATCCTATTTTTTCTTGGCAATTATAAAGAGATTTCATGATTAAGCTGCTTTGAAGCAATAAATCAAAGGGAATAGAGTGATTAATAGACTATACTTAAAAAGTCAAAATTGGAATATTTCAACCAGGATCCAATGCTCCCTATCTCAGAGCCTTGAGCTGGTTGCTTAACCTCTTTAAACTGATTTTCTCACTTTTAAAACACAGATGAAAACACTTCAGGGTTGCTGCTAAAGTAAGAGTAAAGACCATAAAACACAGCCTGGAACATAGCACAATCACCAGGGAAGAAACACCTGGATACATAGTGCAAACTGTTGAGGTAGAAGAATAACAGAACCAGTTTCTTTGGAGTTTTGCAAAATTTCATTCTCTATAACCCCGAATGTTAGTACTTTCACATAGCAACAACTGGTGGGAAGACATGCGAGGTAGAGAAGTTTTTCTATCAGATCTACAAAATGAACAAGAGCCAGGTGTGGTGGTGCACGCCTGTAATCCTAGCAGCTCAAGAAGCTGAGGCAGGAGGATCTCAAATTCAAAGCTATACTCTCTCTAGGCCCTAAGCAACATAGAGAGACCATGTCTCAAAAAACCAAAAGGGCTGGGGATGTGGCTCAGTGGTTAAGTACCTCTGGGTTCAATCCTTAGTACCAAAAATACATAAAATAAAATGAACAAGAACTCACATTTGAAAAGTCCTCTCCTTTGTAGAAGATGGCTCCTGAGGTAACTATACACTCTGATGTGTGATATCCATGGCAGGGGAAAGACTGTAAATGGGTAGTTCCAGAGGTCAAGGCCACAAACAGAATAACTCAGGAGAACAGGAATTCAAGCAACAGGTCTCACTGATATACAGTCCATGTTACTAATCAGTATTAAAGTTTGGCCAACAGCCTAAAAATGTCATGTGATATCTGGCTTTGCCATTAGCTCTATGACTTTTCAAATTTATGAATGAAGCAAAACTGCCCATGTGGATTTTTTTTATTTGCAAAATTGTAACTCTAAATTAGACTAATTTTTAAAGAAATATATTCAAACCTACAGATTCTAAGCCACTATGGAGCCCTTTAGAGTATCACCATTTCAGGCAATAAGAGATGACCCAAAACCCCCAGTTGCACTCACTATGAGCAGGGGCTTTATTGAGCCAATTCAATAGAATTAAACAGAAGCCAAGAGACTGCCCAGAGCAGGAGCAGATATAGCAAACACAGTCATAGCCTCTCTCTGGTACAGGTAGGTGGAGCATCCCTAAACTCAAAATTCAAACTCCAAAATTTTCCAAAACCTAAAACTTTTTGAGCTGCAGCATGACACCACAAGAGGAAAATTCCAAACGAACAAAACATACACACAAAATCAGAAATACTTCTGGTCCCAATCATTTCAGATACTTAAACTGTACTTGTTTTCTCTAATAAGTATAAGGAGCCCATGACCCTCTCCATGCAGGAAGGGTCCTGCTGGAATTTAGAAAACAGCCAAACTCTTACTCTGCCCTTATGCCCTTGTATTTGGAGCTACCTACCCTTCCTGAAGACTCTTACAAATAATCCACATGCAGCCATTTAAAGCAAGATTTCCAAAGGCTGCACTCTCCTGTTTCTTGAACCAACTCAGCTTTAGAAGCTCACAGCCCCTTCCACAGATAGCAAGCAGGGTCAGCATCCAAGTGTCTCGGAACAATATCTTTTTGTCCACCTTTCTAGCATCTCAGCCATTCCCTCACAGTCTACGCAATTCTCACTCAATGCTCTTTTATGTGGTTAGTGCTGATAAAAAGAGTTCAGTCACAGAAACATGATCAAAAATCCAATTCCCTGTAGGAGTTATCCATTTGGCACTAATAAAAGCATTTGGAATGAACCCTTTTGGATTTGCATCCGTAACCAGTTTAAGAGCCTCCCCCAGCCAAATGGCCTTTTTATTCTATGGCCTTGCCTCGATTTTGACCCAAACAACTGTTTATATTACAAACTAAACTTTGCTTCAAATCACCTCTAGTAAAGGCCAAAGATATATTATTTCTCCTTAATTTTTTAATGTAACAAAATAGATGGGATCATCCAAACTTCAAGTTCCATGCCAGTCTTCTCACCTTTGGCCAACTGAACTGGTTCAGCTAGTATTTTACTACCTTCTCCCTCCCAAAAATAAACAAGGTAAAATGAAGATGATTTTATGAATTTAAAGCACAGTTAGAGAAATGAGCACATTAATGCTCAAGGAGGCCAATTTTTCCATGTGGTTGAATTCTCTCACATAGCACAAGGGACACTAAAATTCAGAAGGGATGCTTAAGTTCATGCCTCTTTGGCCCTGGAATGTCCTCTTAAATAAACTCAAAATTCTATGCAATATAATTGTAAGACACAGGACTGAGGTCTTTGCATATTCCTTATTAGCTTGCTATTGTGACTTCCCATCCCTTACCATCCTGCTATTGTGACTTTTCACAAAACACAACTCATGAGCTATCTCTAGGGCTCTTGGAGAGACAGATCATTAGATGAGTGGGGTGGCTGTAGTCCACAGCCTGGTGGAGAACAGCCTCCCTTGGCCTCACTTCTGCTTGGGTTAATCTGATCCCTCAGGCTCTGAGCTTTCTAATTCCCTCTCCCCAAGGTATTGCTTTCGCTCTCACCCACAAAGAACACTGAAACACTTACCTAGAGAAGACCAGGAAGGAGCCTGCCAGATGTCATTCAACTGCCAATACAGTGCCCCCATGGTGTGGCCTTCTCCATTTACTATCTCACTGCGACTGCGGCGATAGAACTCAGTTTCTGTTTTGACACACTGGGCCTGCATCACCTGATTCAGGGGGAGAGGAGTCACACAAGTGTTATTGTTTGATGTAGACTATCTAGATCTGAGAAAATTACAGGTTTGGGGGATATTATGTTTTGCTTTTTAAACAAATTGGATTAGCATTAGGAATACCGTTATTATACTGGTCCTGGAACTAGTCTCTTAGCCCAAGAGAAACTGGTCCTATAACAGTGGGTTTATCTGGGAGGCTTAGTGTTTGATTTATTATAACAATGCATGACAGAGGAAATAGAATGGTGGGAAGCTTTTTGGCTAATGACAGTATAGGAAATGAGGAAATCAAACACCATTATTGTACAGCAAATGTAGTCAAACAGCAGGTATTAATACATTCTTAGCTATTAAAAAAAACTTTTATTGGAAAAAAACATACGAATTATGGGTTGGATATTATCCAAACTTTAACCCCTTTTTCTAGTTCAAACAATTGTTTTTATATCAAGATTTTGATGATGTAAGATTCTTACAAATGCAGTTGCTTCATGATAGCAGAGCGAATGGCAAATTTCAGCAATGAGACAAGTGGACTTAGCTCTTGTTTAAGAGGCCCTGAAGACTTTCATGGAGGATCCTTACTTACTGCAAACTGAAAAATGCCAGTCTCCTTTATTGCTATCACTAACACTGTATATCACATGCTTGGAGTTACACTCAAGATTGAGACTCATGAATGGGTCACCAGAGAGAACTTGGAGAGATGGTCAGAACTGTGAAGTTTTCAGTCAGAGAACAGGATGCTCTTGTAGGACCTGGATTTGTACCCAGGATGACAAAAAGGATGCATATACAATCATCAGAAGACTAAACTCAGATGCCTTCCAACAGAACACCAAAAAAAAAAAAAAAAAAATCTCAGATCAAGGTACAACCTTTGGATAGAAGTAAGCTAGCTAGTAAGGAATTGTGGATAAGGTAACTTACTTACATAATTCAGAGCCATAAAACTCCAGAAGATTGAAGCAAGAAGTAGTCATGGTTATTTGATAAGTGCTTTTTTAAAAATATCTTTTAGTTGTCAAAGGACCTTTATTTTATTTATTTATATGCAGTGCTGAGAATCGAACCCAGTGCCTCACTTATGCTGGGCAAGCACTCTGCCACTGAGCCACAACCCCAGCCCTTGATAAGTGTTTAAAAGTAAGTACCTACAATATGTATTATATTGCTGCTAATGGTAAGCCCTTTTCAAGCTAAAAAAGAAAAGAAAGAAAAGGCCATAGCCCAGCCTCATGGAACTTAATGGCCTGTGTAGAAGACAGGCCTTAATCAAAGAATAACACAACAAACTTCAACATTAAACAGTCCTGAGTGCTGAGGAGGAGAGGTGCATAGTGTTATGTGCTCACACAGTAGGGTTAAAAAAAAAAAAAAGGCCTAGTTGAGGGGTGAGGAATAGCCTAAAAGAATGGAAAGGGACAGAACCTTCAGCCAGAGAAGGCAATGCATGGTGAGAGATAAGAATGCACAGGCTGTCAGCCAAGAACTGAAGGAGGACTAAGGGGAAAACGGAAGAGGCTGGTGAGAATTGTGGAAGGCCATGGAAAGCAGGAGAAAAGTATTGGGACACCCTAAAAGCAATGCTATGTCATTAAAAGCCTTTAGGTTAAAAGGTCATCTAACTGATTTTCATTTCTAAAAGATGACTCACACCACTGAGTGGAGAAAGGACTGTAAATGGGCTAGAGTGGATTTAGGGAGAACATTTAGAAAGCTATTTATTCCAGGCTTCCAGGAAAGGGATGAGGTTAGCTATGAGCAGATAAGGAAATGCCCTTGTTCATTGAGAGACCAGACACTGGAACCACAGCACTGATGGCTACAAAGCATGCTGTAAGGAAAATAAGAATCTCACAAAGCAAGCAACACTGGTGCCACCTCAGAATGCCCACAGGATATAGTCTGAATATGCAAGTCTAAAAATAAGTCAGAGGGGATGAAATAGAAAATAAGCCTAAGAATTTTTCTCTGCCAATCAAGTTACTCCACAATTACACTCAGGATCTCTAGCCACTAAGTTCCTTGTAAAAATACCAATCTTGTCTGAACTAAAGTGAGAGAGAGAGAGAGAGAGAGAAAGAGAGAGATAGATAGAGAAATTTATCTACTTCAAAGCCTAGCTAGCTAGGCACAGGGAAATCAAATCCCTTGAGCAAGTATCCATGTTTATTGAGTTACTGTACCAAAGCAGTGTTACAGAGAAACTTCTAGAAAATTCAATGAAGATGAAGCGGTTCGAAATAAAATGTCAGTAAATATAATCAGGAGGCTGCACAGAGCATCAGTCCATTCCCACCACATATTTTACCCTATCATCAACTAACTGAGCTGGTGACCTATGCTGGGTTCACAAAATCTGACTACATCAATAACATAAAAAAAAAAGAAGAAAGGACACAGAAATACCTTTTCGAAATCCAGGATGGCTCTTGACCTTAGGGGTTTGTTGGAAACAGAGAGAGCCACTGAATTCTTTATTCTTATATAATGGGGGACACACAAAGGGAGGTTCAATGGAATGTCCTTTCCAAATGAGGCAAAGGGTCAGGTTTCAGGGGGTTGAGTCTAGCTTCATGATGTCTTGCAGTCAGCAGATTGATTAATATCTTGGCAAGTCAGACCCATCTCAGGTGCTATGCGAGAACACAGGCAGAGTGAGAGAAAAGTGTTCATGGCCCAAAGAGCAACCAAGCCAGTTCTCTCACATACTCAAATGCTCATAGCTCCCACACACAACCCATGGCTGACCTGCGACATTACCCCACATCAGCATGGAAAGCAATGTTTATTTTTGTTTTCATGATTCAGTACAATCTGAACTCATTTAAATCACTCTGAGCCTCCAAATAACGTCACCATCAACCAAAATAAAGGTAGTCCACAGGCACAAAGTCAGCCAGCACCCCTGCCCAATGCACCACACACACCCTAGCCCCTGAATGACACAGTCTGTTTCTTATCCCGAAGTTCCTGAAAAAGCTGCCATTATGGATCCTGTGTGGAGGAATCATTAGAGAAGAGGAGCAGAAGTCCTTATTATACTGGTGAGTAACCAAAAGGGGAAAAAGGATTTGGGTCACCACACACTGCAGAAGCTGCTGGCCAAGCCCTAGAGGCTTCACACAGAAAATGAATGGCACCATCATAACACCCCACTCTCAATTCCAGAACGGTGAGGACCCAAGGCGTCCCCAAGGGCTGGACCATTCCTGATGTACCAAAAAGGAAAGAAAACCTGCAATGCTTGGATAATACCCTTCAGGGACTTGGTTCAACCTTGATTTACAAGTTACAGTACCAAAGAGGGGGATCATTCAAGGAGGTTGGGACAGGAGTTACTTTCCTTAGATTCAGATTTACAAAGTAAAGTGAAAAGGAGAAAAGAAAAGCAGAATTCTGATATGGCAATAAAATATCAACGTGCACAGGTGTAAGTCATTAAGCCATCCAGTTCAAGCAGAAGTCAAAACTTCTAGGACAAAGCGATAACTTATCAGGAATCTAGCCCATGCTTAGTTGGACCTAAACCAAAAGACAAGGAGATATTTTCCTGATAGACTTGGTAATGGTAGCTTATATTTTCTATTTCTTCATGGTAAATTTAATGTTTTTTTGTTTCGGACAGGAAAAATATGATGAGAACCAAATTATTTATCTGGGTCTAAATTCATTTCCAATCTTTGTTATATATTATCGTTCACATACATTTAATTATACTGCTCACTTAATTTTGACACATGTACATTTCCAAGCTCTGGCACTTTATGTTTTGAATGGCTATGTAGTTATATCATAGTCTGATTCATCATCCTTCCAATATTAGGAATTAGGAAAACCAGTTTCCTGTTTTTTCCTTTAAATATAAGGGCTAAAAACATTTACTGTTCATATTAATTTTCCCCTTCTTGTATTGTCTCTTTGAATGATAATAAGGCAAAATCTAATATTCTTGTTCTATATTGCTATATTATATTTCAGACAAGATGCTGCCATTAATTCGAAGTGACCAGGCTAAACTTAGCTCCCAACAGGTATTAATTGGCCCACATGGTGTGTTTTGTTTCTTGTTGTTGTTGGTGGTGTTTATTAATAGTCTTAAATCAGGGCCAGTGCACCCCATTTTGCCACAATCCTCAGTAATCATATATTCATCCATTTAAATTATCTGCCAGCTACTATAAACATTTGAGTCATATTGATTTTCATAACTAATTGCAAGATACAAATATTTATTTCTGTTCATCCATCCTAACATTAATCTTCTCAACTGTAATTTACCTTTCCTGGCTTCATCGGTAAATATAATTAATCCCTTAGAATTTTCAAATTAAAAAAAATTTTAAGTGCATGCAGGACTCCTAACCCTTGCTAGCAATGAAAGGGAAGTTTCACTGCTAGTGTCCCCTAATAGCCTATTATGCCTGAATCTAGCTCGAAGGAGGATAACCAAGGCTCTTGAGGACCTCCAGCTCTCGCATAGTGTGGCACACTTCTCTTACAGACAGTAATGTGCCAAAAACATGGATCTCAGTCTATCCAAACCAGTTAGTAACAGTGAGGGATAATGAATGGCACACGCTGCTATGGTGTGGGTAAAGTTCCCTGTGTTAAATGTTTGAACCCAAGCTTATCACTATTGGGAGATGGCTGAAACTTTGAGAGGTGGGGCCTCGTTGGAGAGCTTGAGGTCACTGGCCTCTTTGATCTAGCAGGAATGACCCAGGATTTGGGGTCTTATTCAGGAATTGTGGGTAGGCACTCAGAATGGGTTGTCTTGATGGTGCCATTCGTTGCCTGTGTAGGGCCTGGCAAAGGGGATTGTGGAACCCTAGCCTCTTTCTCTTCTTCACTTCCTGGCTTATATAAAGTAGTTTTGCTCTGCCATATGCTTCTGCCATGATGTGCTGCAACATGCCCCGAGCAATAAGACCAAATGATCATAGACTGAAACCTCCAAAGCTTTGAGACAAAATAAACTTTTATCT